CACATCAGAAGTTGTTTTGTATAAAATTGAACCGTAGACTGTTTATACGGGGTGTCAATTTTAAAACTTGCAGTCGGCCGTATTTTCCAAACTAAAGATATTGAAAATCGCGAAAAACCGTTTCGGGGGTATCGAAGGGGAACCAGAATTACGTTATGAGTGACAACTCCCCACCCCCTTAAGCCCCCCCCCCAGCCCCCATCTTCAAAAATCCTAAATGGCAACCACATACTTGTAACACATCGTTGGAAAGCTACTGAAAAATGTACTCCAATGTGGTACCAATAAAGTCAATATTGATTAAAGACAATTTATCAACAATTTAATAATTAACAAAAAAAACTAAATGTTGACATTGAGGGATTTATGGCAAATTGGGCAAGAACTTCAACCTGAGCTGCGTCATTAAGCAATCTTGGTTGCTTTCTTTTTTTTTATTGATAACAGATCCCGTTTCTTCGAATTTAGCGACCAAATCTTGAACATAGGCATGGCTTAATTTTTTTTTACTAATTATGTTAAATTGTCTTAATGAATATTGACTTTATTGGTACTACTGGAAAGCATTTTTCAGTAGCTTTCCAACGATGTGTCACAAGTATGGGGTTGCCATTTAGGATTTTTGAAGATGGGGGTTAAGGGGGTGGGGGGTTGTCACTCATAACGTCATTCTGGTTCCCACTCGATACCCCCGAAACGGTTCTGCGCGATTTTCAATATCTTCTTTAGTTTGGACAATATGACCGACTGCACGTTTTAAAATTGACACCCTGTTTAACGACATTTGACTCGATTACCCAATTTGCGTTGTAGGATTTCGTATTTATGTTTATACTTTGCTGTCGTAGTTGATTTATCTTTTGTATTTGTGTGTTATGCCAGGTTTTTTCTTGTTGGTTCCTTTTTTCTCGGCTTTTCAGTTTGGAACCAAACCTCGTGCGTAGTATATTTTATTTTTCTTACTCCCTCCAGACACACAACAATTCTGTCTTTTATTTAATCCCCTTCCCGATCAAGTTCCAACACAATAGGAGGTAGGAGTCCCATTCGTTCCAGCCGAATGCTACCCAAATTTGAAAGTGGCGAGAAACGCCAACATTTTGACAACGAAAATTAGGAGGAGCTGCTTGTATTAATCTCCGGAGTAAGTTCACATATTCAGTGCCGGCTGAGATACCCCTAAGAACATTACAGCTAGAAGACCAAGACTCGCAAGAGTCAACGTCATCCAGGAAAAGAGAGTCGGGGACAATGGGAGGGATTTGATCGGTTACAATCTATCCAGGAATAGGAGAGCCGAGAGGAATGGCAGAAGAAGAAAAGCACTACAGGTACCTAAAACGGGGGCGCCTAATATAAAACTGTAGGAGCCCGGCTATGTGAAACTTATGCACCAGTGTGAGGCAGAGAGGAGGAACTAATAGGAGGGGTAGGAAGGTGATCACATGAGCAGCGGGTCTGAGAATGGTAAACGTGAATAAGGGAGGGGAGGCCACCTTCATCAGAGGCCCATCATCGTCGATAGTGCGAACACGGCAAAAATAAAACAGGGGAAGGGGTAAAGGGGTATCAAGATGCGGAGAGATTGGTCATTTTCCTGGAAGGAATGTGCAGGAAGACGATGCCATAACGAAGGAAGGAAAAACCCGAAGTTTTTTTGGTAGACATCGGAGATAGAGGAACAGCGAAACGGTTGTACGGAGATAAAGAGAGATAGAGATAAAACAAACAAGAAGTGAGCAGGGGTAGAAGAAGTGGGGAACGTCAACTCATTAGCACATGGCGAGATTTGTGTGACGCGTTGCTGTGGGCCATACAGCACGGTTACCTGACAGGGAGTACGTTGACAGCGCCAAGCGGCGAATTGAGGGGCGGAACCGCTGAAGGTGGCAGCGGGAGTTGCGCATGTTGGGTCTTAGGTCCCAAACTATGGAATGTTCTGTACGAGTGTGGAGATTGATCGCGTTCGCCGACGACCTAACCCTAATCTTCTGGATGAGGGCGGTTAGGAGCACTTGAGGACAATGGGGGCCAAGAAATGGACAAAACCAACACGGTTTATTGGGCACGTTTAAGTGACTACTAGGAAGATATCGGAAAACCCGAACAGAGTGGTGAAGACATTAATTTTTCTGGGTTCCTCATAATGGAGATGGAGCGAAGGGGGAGGGGGACAAAAGGGAAAAGGTTAGGGTATTACAGGAAAAGATGCTCCGAGATATCGATGAGCTGAAGACTGCAGCCTGCCGGGACTCGGACCCTGGAGTGGGTACAAAGCTAGGAGGGAACGAGAGTCGGTGACAACGTGAGGGTAAAGGTCGATTACAACTCAAGATTTGGAGAGCCGAGAGGAAGAATAGGAAAGGAGAGGCACTACGGACACGGAACGCGTCATAAAAAAGGTCCCAGATAGGTGAGACATGCCTCCGGTGTGGGAAGACCGGACAGAAGACATGGGCATGTAAAGAAACCATCATGTGCTGTTTCCTGTACTCAATGAGGCGGGGAGGGGTTGGAAGGTGATCAAGTGACCAATCGCCAATGAAAGAGGGGACCCCACATTATCAGGGTGAATAGTGGGAGAACGTTAAGTGACTATAGGTTAGAGGTTTGGGAGATGTTGGGTACTTTCCTGGAAAGACTGCAGAATGTCAATGTTACCCCGAGTTTTTTGAAAGACAAGGAAATAAAGGAACAGCGAAAGGGCTGTACGGAGATAAGGAAGAGTAGACAAGATATGCGCAGAAGTAGAAGAAGTGAGACCATGAGGTATGCGAGCGCGAAAAATATGGTCAACAGGATGTTAAGGAAGATGGTTATAAGGATCTCCTGCACTTACAGAACCGTACCGCTGGAAGACGTATTAGTCATCGTCCAGCAATGTTACACGTGAAGGCTAAAGAGACTGCTAGTGGAGTGGGAGGTACAAGCCTCCTCACATTACCGGTGTGGGGACCGGGTTCTTGTCGAAACACGTGGTGTTTGAAGAAGAAAAAGACGCCGACGCATGTGGAGAGGCGAACGAGTTCTCGCGTGCCACAGTTGAGTCGCAACGGGATGGGTAAGAAACAGGAATGGTCAGAATTGGAAAACGGCAAACCAGTTCTCGGCGTTCAGGTGCAAAGACAAGAGGAAGGGCGTTGACAAGGGAATGACGCGAGACGGAAATTCACCCCCAAACGAGCCTAATATCTAGGGGTCTAGGGATAGGGTTTTCTATTTCCAGTCGCCTCCTTGTCGTGCAGTTATCCTTTGTATGACTCGGTTGTTTACATTTGAAACACGCATTATTATCTTTCGGACGCGAACATTCGTTGGCATAATGTCCCTCGGACGCGCAATTAAAACATCGCACTACCCGTTTCAGTTTGCCCCCTGCGCTCTTTAAGTTAGCACTGTGTCCCGCGTTTTCTCCATCATATCTACATCGATGACACACAACGGTAAAATCATAGCAGGCCCCTACGGGTTGACAACATCAACATACTCATTCGTAAGAAACTGCAACACGAAGCCATTAAAAATGAAATGGAATTAATATGAATGTTACCGATTCCTTTTTATTTAAAAGCAACGATGCCAGTTTTTTAAATGATGATTTACCGTTGTCCGTCTAAGCTATAAATTAACAGAAGCCGATTAATAATCATTACGTCATAAAATTAATGACATGGAACGGGGATTGCATTGTATCGACTATAGCAATTTATTTTCGAGCGGCGGCGTCAATCCGAAGCGTCACGTGGAGAAATTTTTGGATTCGTGTAAACGCCGGAAGAACACCGGCTTACCATAAATAAGTGATCCATTCTCTGAAATGGCTTGTTAACGCCTCCCTCTGATTTATAACCCCCTGATTAATCTATCCAATTAATTTATTAATCCCTCTTTTCGCGCAATTTTAATGAAGAAATCTTAGCGCGCGCGAGGCGCTATTTATTACCGACGATTGACGAAATAATACATCTTGTGCCACCCCAATTTATTCAATTAAAGTCGATGGAAGATAATTTAACCCTCACATCAAATTTTAATAATTTCTCGGGGCGCCTGATGATTGAAGACGGCATGTAACAAGTTTACAAGTTTGAATTGGTGGAAATTTTTCAAATTAATTAATTTAAGCGAGACGAGGCGAGCGTTTGTTTTAGTTTTACAATATAAACTCGACGGAGATGTCTTATTGTGGTTATGTTTAATAAAATCGTCGAAACACACGAGTGGAACTAATTATGAAACTGTGCGCCATTATCCATTCTTCCAGAGGCGCTCTTTGTTTCAAATGCAATTAGAGTAAATGGCCAACGTTACACGCGAATCTTCAACTACACATTTTCTATTTAACGGGCGATCAGTACTATGAGCGACTTTTGCGTGCTGGACGATTACCGGATTATTTTGCTTAATGAGAAAAAAAGAGCCTTTACGAAAACTAAATGAGTCTGCGAACTTACGTAAATGAGCGATATTAGTATAAAGTTCATTAACGTTATTTGTAAAGATAAATATTTCAAAATGAGAAACGTAGTTAATCAACATTTAACTTCTCCGACTGTATTTGCAGAACGAAACGCGAATCCTTCGAATCAAAATCCGAGCTGTGCAGTCCTGAATTAATTCAACAAGATATTTTTAATTGTACAGATATTATACACATAAGGTGTCTAATCCCTGGAATCCTGATACATTTGTTTAAAAAACAGAATTTGGTATCAGGATAATATACCAAGTGAAAGCATTCAAACCACCTTACGTTTCTGCGAATCTGATAGAACCACCATTTGCAAACTTGCCGTAACATGATCAATATATTTTCAGATGTATCAGTGAATGTATTTTAAACTTTCTGAGATCCTGATACGACAACTTTTACAAGCGAAATTTCTTTTCAGAACAGCACAATACGTAAGAATAAATTGCAACTTCAGTACCATTACATAAAAAAACCCTGTAATATAAGGGGCTTTTAAAATATGGCAAGGTACACGTTTTGTGGCAAGGTACAAAATATATAGAAACAAAAAAAAATTAGTTTACTTACTTGAGCAAAGTTTCTAAGGTGCTTTGTCTAATCATGCAACATTGTAGCACCGGAGCTAGTATGGACAACTCGTCGTGGAAAGGCTTACCGAATCCCCTGCCATGATCCAAATGGAGCGGAAAGGTATCATTTCCAAACAGCCTGCGAACAAATACAACTGTTAGCCTTTCAAATACCAAACCGTCCACGAGACAGCAATAATTGAAGGTAGCTTACACCAAACAAAAAAGTTAAATTTTGGTGATTTTTTCACGTATGGGTTCGTACTCTTCTTTTGGGCAGAGCGCACTGATCGATCCGAATTTGGTCATTTCCCAAACATTATGGACAATCACGTAAAGCAACGTTTGGTTTCCCGCACCAATAACAGTGAGGTTAAGCACATTCTCATGCAACGTGACCAGAATTTTGGCAGTTCCAACAAGTGGTCTTCCCTAATTTAGTCATCGCTTGAGGAAGTTGTCTTTCGTATATTTTTTCTTGATTCGGCGTTGATTAGGTGAGTGGTGGTTTGAATTGCTTCATACGATATCGCACGTCTTTATTGGACTTGCACAAACTATGGATGGTGTGTACGGTATATAGTGTAACTTGATTCTGTAGATATGGTTGCAAATTTCCCTGATTGCACCCTTACAGTTTCCCAAGGAATTCTTGATAACCTCCTAAATAGATTCACTATAACTGCAACTGCCCTCTGACGAATTTCATCCATGAGTTGACTAGCTCATTACCTGACAAGAAAACTGCTAAGGCGACGACAGGGACTACGTATTCTCAGATGGTACCTAAGTATGACTGGGAAGTTGATTTCGACGGTCTGCCTGACGTCTCAGGAACCTCTCTAAGGAAGCTAAAGATCTCTTAATCAACTTATTCATGGATTTGTATAGCTTTCACAGCAATGGCCGTCTGTTTTTTTCATGGTTCCTCCAAAATATTTTCTCGGGAATGCGAACTATGACATCCTCTGACATTAAAAAGAGCCTAATGGTCGACAACACATCATGCAACACTAAATAGCTCGGAAGATGCTTATGCGCAAATTTAACATGTAACAAACTCTTTGTTCAGTTTCAGAAGCATGGAAACAGTCGTCTGGTCGCTCTGAGATGCATCTTCCCTGATCGATCCGAATTCAATGGTTCCCTTGACCGTTTCCCGGACCTGATGGGCAATTACATAGAGTAACATTTGGTTTCCCGCAGCGATAACAGTGGATACGGTTGGATTGACTACATCTTCCAACGTGACCAAAATTTTGGCAGTTCCAACAAGTGGTCACGTCTTAACAGTTGCAAATTTTTATTGGCTGCTATAGGTCAATATCTATAAGCAAATGCCTTTTTACGATCTATCTGAGACAACTCTACCGCCGCGCAATTTTAAAAGATCTCTTTGCCTTTTATCTGGTCGAGTTTCATACGATTTTATGAGATAATCTTTTGTCAACTTCTGCAAAACGCTTTTCGTGTGGTGGCCAGATAATGTCGGTTGTAATTTTTTCGGCGCCATGGGCCAAAATCTGTTTATCTTTCTTTTTCTTGTAGAACTACGACAATTATTCGCTCGATTTTTGAGACAAAGCAACGTTTCATGTTGTTTTATGACTCTCTTTTGTTGGTTGGTTGGTCAGATCATTTTGGTGGTGATTTTTTTGGATTGTACAGACCAAAATCTACCGCATATCTCTTTTCATTTGATATGTTTTTTTACGTTTTGCTCTAACTCTAACGGTTTAGCCTGTAGAAGTTCTCAAAGCTGGAAAATGCGAAAAACCCCAATTTCGAGAAGGGCGATCCGGAATGCGCCGTTTCCAAATTTCGAGTTATCTCTCGAATCCCACCACCGCACGAATACGCTCCTCTACGTCCCCGCGATCTCCAGAAAGCCCCAAAAGGAAATCCGGTAACGTTTTCGAATTTGTTTCCAAAATTTTCGATGTACATGTATTGGTATCGCACAAAAAAACCTGCTACAAACGCCAAAAAAACCGTGGCTAAAATTTGAGAGGAGCAACAATCAACAGTATCATCAAATCATTCACAATTTTCATTCATTAAGTCAAAGAGAAAGAAGCGCTTTATAATTTTTAGTCGATCTTATTTCAATTTTCCCTTTGAAATGTAACCGCACCTAGAGGTTGTGAATACTGAAAATAGCAAAAGTCTTACTTGAAAGTTTCGTAATGATGTCGATCCATATTTCCGGTCATAAAGTCGAAAACGGCCATGTCCATGAGATCGTATAACCGTCGCCCTTGATCATACGGCGGAATTTCACGGACAACTGAACAGTAATTAGCTTCAGTTTCCCATTGAGCTTTTCTCCTTTTGTGATACGAGCGTCTCCAGGGATGCCTCCAAACCTACAAATAATAAATATACATTTTCGAATTAGATTTTGACGACGCACCCACCTTTCTCGGCGCGAACTCCTTCGACGGCAAAAACGCCGCGAAACTTCCCTCCAGCATATCCGGATTTCCACAAATAGCATGCGACGTATCGCAATAATAAGTACATTTCCCATGAAAACATAAGTTGTCCGACGGTGAAACGAAAAATGTTTTCAGCAGCTCCCCCTCGGCTTTCTGATATAATTCGGTCGTCATGTTTAGGCGTCTCCCGGTAACAGGCATCGCTCTGCGAAAGCCCAACAGTCTGAAAACAAAAAAAAAGACGTAAAAGGTAAAATAAGGATTTCCCGGTTCAATACGCTGAAATGGAAGAATACGTAAACAAGTGATGCGGGCTCAGTTACTAATCATCAAATGAACTTTTCAGTCGGCTAATTTTACAGTTAGTTGACAAAGTAATTTGAGGAGGAAAACTATACCGTAACTTTGAGGAGCTCAAAGGGACGAGTTTTATTTGTAGTTAGGCACTTTGTAAAGAAAGTTGCTACTATGTAAGACTTCAATCGCGATTTTATTTTAGTGTAACAAATGAATGTAGGTACGTGGAGAAACCGTCTCGCGGTATTCCGACGCGTGCGGAATAATTTATTCCAAACGAGCGAGGAGTATCCGTCATCAGTAATAAGAAGCTTAATTGCGTACCTAACGATTTTATTCTGTCGCTGCTAAATAATGTTTTTAGGAACCCACTTTTGAACTTGAGAAGAAATATGATATTTCCAACTGTCAGGCGATCTTTTATAATAGTATAATGCACACCCTTTGTTATTTGATGTTGGCGTTTAACATTTCTTTCTGATATAAGATGCCAGCGAAAGAAAATTTTCCTTGCTTGTAAAAAGGGGATGTAGATATTCGCAGGTTCCGTATACTCTCTCCTCGTAAAGTCGTAACAGTCACAAATGGGCGAATATGTACCTACTGGTTCTCCACTCCCAACAAGGGAATAGCTTACAGGAGGTTGAACACCGCCTGTAGTTTGTCAAAGGTAGACGATGTGTATCTGTTTCCTTTAGTTCGGATTATTCCACCATACGGTATTTAAAGGTCAGTACATTGACGGTTTTCCACATTTGCAATTACCTTTAAGTTTATCTATCAGTAGCGACTTTGATTTTTAATTAACGCTCAATTATTCAGGGAAACAGTGGTGTATAGCCGCCAGTTTTATAGTTTTTCTTCGTAATTCATCTTAGTGATCCTAACAAAATTAATGAGGCATTTGTAAATTCAAGTAAATCTTTGTCTACCGTTAATTTCAACAACCTTATTCGATTCTATTGCGAAGATTTTCCACAAAAGTTTGGGACAAATTTTCAATTTTCATTAACTGATGGCCAAGCAATATTAAAAATCTTATCAAATATCAAAAGTAATGCGGTTGGAACTGATGAACTGAGTATAAAAATGTTACGACTTTGCTGTCCCTTTATTGTTCCTTAGTGTGGTGTCACACTATGCGTTTTTGTCGCTCCCGCTAAAACGCTCCTGTTTGACGGGATGATAATATCACACGTTATTAAATGGTACCAGTCACATATATGCGTTTTCGCCACACCAACCGGATGCAACCGCATCCTGCTGCCGCTGCGCAGGATGACATGACAACCACAATGACATTAAACCACGTGTGTTGCATGTTGGTTGTCATAAGTTGTCATACTGAGCGTTGCAACCGGGTGTTTTGTTAGGTTTACAATGTTTGATGTCGGTTTATTCATCGAGTGCGTGCATGCAAAAATTGCACTGTGGGAAAAACAATCTAAAGAGTATGTAGATATAAACTGTAGGGAGAAATCATGGGTAGAAATTGAATTTTTGGACATTCGATAATATACAAAAAAATTTTTCTTGTTCATTCGAATTTTTTCATAAAACTTCGCGAACCTATTATTAGATTCTCGTCCTGAATTAAAAGGATCAATCCAATTTTGACGATATATCTGCTTTCGCAATAACCCCTCCGCCTCAAGCGCACAAACCATCTTTAACAATAATTGAGACACTCACTACTTAGACTGCCAAAATATAGCAAAAACGCATCCCGTTAGACCGGAATAGTGTGACAAGTAGATCTCATCCTGTCAAACCGCATCCGTTTTAGCGGGAGCGGTAAAAACGCATAGTGTGACACCACAACTTACGTGACACATATTATCAATATCCTGCATACGATTCGATCTTTCCAGACTCCTGGAAAACCGCAAAGGTTATTCCTATGTACCTAAATCAAAATGCAACCAAACTGACTTATAATGGACTTAAGACCAATTAGTATCCTTCCATGTTATCAAGTTTTCGAAAAGAATTATGATGACTCAAATGCAGAAGTTATGTGCAATCCATGGTGATATTATCCCCGAGACATCGAATCGGGATTTAGATCGGGTTTTAGGTTGTGAAACTTCCTTTAAGATATAACTGATGAATATTGAGCAGTGCTGATATAGTGATGAACTGTCCGTGTCGATATGCGTTGATAACCGAAGGCGTTTGACACCATAAGACATGATGTTATGGTGTCAATCCTGAGATGTATTGGTTTCGACGAGTCTGCTACTTCTTTAATTGAAAATTACCTCACTAATCGCAGCCAGATAGTGAAAATAAAAGACTCTCAATCTATCTCTTTACCAATTATCAATGGAGTACCTCAAGGTTCAATTCTTGGTCCCCTGCTTTACGTTATATATACCTTTAATTTAAAATCTTCTCTAAAATTTTGTAAATATCATTTATATGCTGATGGCACTCAGTTGCATTACAGTTTCAAGCCTATAGATTTGCCCGTTGCCTTGGTTCATATTAACACTGATCTTAACAGTCTAGTGGATTATTCAGAGGTTCATGGGTTACAAATTAACATATCTAAATGCTACCTCATGCTATTAGGCAAACGGAAGACAAGAGAAAAGTATATATCTCAAATAAATATTATGATAAGGGATACTCCATTGGGTGTTAAGAGCAGTGTTAAGAACCTAGGGCTTATTATAGATGATGAACTTAGGTTTCGACAGCATATATCTAAAATGTGCAAAAGGCATTTATTAATCTAAAACAAATTTATCAAAATCGGTCTTGCTTAACTAAAAAAGTAAAAATAATACTCTGCGAGTCGCTTGTCCTATCTCATTTTAATTATTGTGATTGTGTGTACGGTCCTTGTTTAACTTCCGTCGACTGCAGACGAATACAACGCATCCAAAACTCGTGTCTAAGGTTAATATTTGGTATTCGAAAATTTAATTCTATTGGTGGCAAACTGAATGAAATAGGATGGCTGAATATGACAAATAGAAGAATGCTGCATTCGGCTTGCTTATATCATAAAGTCATTACTCGCCAAACACCACAGTATCTTTTCAATAAGCTTCGATTTCGGCATAACATACGTGATTTTTTCTTGAGACATAAAAATTTAGTTATAACACCGCTTCATAAAACATCCTTGTATGAAAGATCATTTAGTTATAACGCGTCTAAAGTTTATAATTCAATACCTCCTGAAATTAAAGAACTTCCTATACAACATTTCAAAATTCAACTACATAAACTATAACTACTTAATCAATACACCTCTTAAATAAAAATTAATCTTGATAAGATTCTGTTTTTATTATAATTTATTTGTCCCGTTAAAAATATTATTTTTCACTCGTAATGCCATAATTAATGTTATTTAGTAATCAAACTGGGTTGAGTGGAAGACCAAGCTGCTACTTAGTAGTTGCTTGAACTCACTCCATTTGTGAACAACAAGTGAGGCAGTTCTTAAGTACTCTGTTCTCTTCGAACATCATGTATGATTTTATTTTTCTTTATTTTTATCTTGAACATTGAACATTATATTAAGTTGTTGTCAATAAATGCATTATCATTATTATTATTATTATAGACACCAGAGGGCAAAAGGAAATTGGGGACTTCGCAATAATTCAGAAATGGTTGGCCGCCGGAGCCGTGTGGAACGTGCCAAAGGTAGACGATGCGTATCCGTTACTATTTAGTTGCGACCACTCTACCCTACAATATGTAAAAGGGTTCTGGCACCACTTGCATGAATTTGCTGATCGCTAATCGCTTAAAAAACGCGAGAATTGGTTGAAGGAATAAATAAATAAATAACCTGTTAGCGCCATTTTGGAGGTGGTCTTTATAAAATTAAGAAAATAGGGACGAAGTAGAGAAGATCTGGTTCAGGGCATTCTGCGGTTTAGCGGAAAATTTTTACGTGAGTAGCTGCGGACGGACAGATTTATGTTGAACGCCAAGGATAGCTTTAGTTCAGAATACGTGAATTAAATCGAACCAGTAAGCTAAATCGACCAGCCGTCGAAATCATTCGGAAGCTCGCACGTGGTTTCGTAAAGTTTCGAATTAAAGGAACGCTTTTTGGTTTGCAATGATAAAAACGTGTAATGTGCCAAGTAGGAAGTAATTTCATTTATTTCATACTATCTAGTAATCGCCGCTTTCCCAGACTGATTTGAGTCTGGTAAATCGTATTTTACCAGACTGAAAATTTTTACCAGACTGGAAATTTTGCCTAGCAACCGCAACTGACATCCATCTAAACGTGATATTTGATTGATTGATTGATATTGATATTTGTCAAACTACTGTCAGATCAAACAAATCAAGTGATCGACTTTTGCTTTTATTTTAATGTGTACCTACAACATTCTAATCAAAATGGTATTTTAATAGAAATAGAGCAGTATGAAATAAAATGTTTTACATTATTTGTATGTTAAATCAGTTAACGTTACTCGTTTCGAAATTCCTGCCTCAGCTACGCTTCGGCAGTAAACATCTCACTCGTTAACGTAAACCTTGATTTACCATACTCATATGTAAATAACTATTAGTTGTAAACGTTGATTAACAAGACAAAACGCAAACGGGTAAACGTCATGTTTAAACGCTACTGACTTGTAAAACTGACAGCAGACATGTAAAACTAACAGCAGACATGTAAAACTGACAGCAGACATGTAAAAATTTTACAAGTTAGTAATCGAGTCATTTCATTGGCCAGAATTAATGCGAAGTCTCTGTTACATGGATAACATGATATTTTAGACATTTCTTCAAGATCAATTTAAGAACTAATTATTTACGTTTACAAATGAGTAACAAATAAAATATTGTACATTATACGCCAGGTAATAGTTTTTATTCACGATCATATTGTAATCAGTCTCATAATTGTCATTTTGAAGGATAAGGAAGTTGTGTTTTACAACACTTATTTTTCC